TCGGGATGGAAAATATATAAATTGTGTATTAAAAAAGATACGTATACATATAAATATTTTAGGATAGAAAAAATTGGTAAGAATTCATTTTTTAGACGGGGATGACATTCCATCTGGGGGTTGTTTTATTTTGATAATAATATTACGATTAATAAAATTATTTGGTAAAAATGATAAATTATTATTTTAAAGAATTTTTTTATTTATTATTCCATTGTCGCTAGATTGTCAGACCACCATCAGTCAATAGCCAAAAAAGTCATTGGAGGTGGCTGATACTGGTGGTGGTATAGACAGATAGGTAGATTAAGTGGACTAGGGCTAGACATAGGGTTGTCCGAACCGCACAACCCGTGCCAATCCAAACCGATCCGCATACAAATGGGTGGTTTCGCAGATATAATGCAAGCAGATGCAGTTTGAAATATGGCATGATTGCGGTTTGCGGACAGGTGTGGGTCTGCAAGAACCTGTCCGCACTTAGACTTTTTTTGATTTATTTTTAAACTTGAACCGTTGTTATTTTATTTTTGCATTTTGAATGAATGTAAAAGTTAATGAGAAATCACTTTTAGGTAAGTTTAGGATTTTGAATAATTTTACTTTAATTGTATTGTCGAGTAGTAGATAGTAAATGAGATTGATAATCTAGTTTAGGATTTTGAAAGACGTGCTTGTGTTAGTTTATTATTTGATTTAAAAGTTTAGAATTTTGAATGATTTGTTTGTGTTAAGAATTGATTTTGTTGTGTTTTTAATTTTATAAGTTTTAATTCATTAATTATTAATGTTTGAGCATTTTAGAAAATGGGAGGAAAATGGTCTAAAATAAATATTTACAAAATTGGAAAAAATGCTCCAAAATAATATATTTTTTTTAAAAGTCCAATCCGCAAATCGCCCGTAACCGCCTACACATCCGTGAACCCTATCCGCACAAACCGCAACCCCGTACAGCTGGAGGTTGCAAGTTGAATTTTCCTCAAACTGCATATATACGGGCGGGTCCAAACTGATCCACAAATCGTTTAAAACAAAATCGCAACCACACCTAAAGTGAACAATTAAGGCCAAGTTTGGCAAATCTTAAAAAATCCAAAAAGTCAAAAAGTCACTATCCTATTTAAATCACATCATCTTATTTAAGTCACATCACCTCTCTAACACATCACTTCAAACCCAACCCATATTTTATAAAAAGTCAAAAAGTGCACTTATTTAGTCTTCCCAAACTTGACCTAAATAACATGTGAATAAATAGATTAATGACACGTGAAAAAATAAAGGTATGACAAGTAAAAAGATTAACTTATAGATAAAAGTAATATGATTTTTTTAAGTTTGGAACTATTGTCCCACAAGTTTCAAAACTAAAGTTGTAACCCGAGTACTTACTAAAATATGTGAAGGATGTATTGAGAGTATAAATAATTTAACTTTTGTAATTCTTATTCACATCCCTTAAAATTGTTTCAATAAAAATAAAGTGATACAAGCAAAATTGGACAAACCCTAAAATGAGAAGTATAGTTTTAGGTGTATGAGCGAGAGCGACAGAGCTCATGTCGTGTGGGGCACTTTGTTGTTGTTGTCAACGAGACGGAAAGAGGAGGGAAGAGGGGGCTCATTATGCACTCACCAAATGTCACAAGTAATATATATATATATATATATATATATATGAGAAATGTTAAAGATCATGAAAGTTTTATTATGAAAATGATCATGAAAAATTTGTAATATTTAGATTACCTTAATTAGTGTGTGGTGTTTTATTGTAAGTATAATCCAAAGGTCACACATCTTTCATGACTATTTTCATGAAAGACTTTTCATAGTACCTAACATTACTGTATACATATACATATACATATACATATGCTCTATTATCCTTCTAGAAACTACAAACCCACTTGGGAAAGAATGTATATCTCATGTCAATCTTCTAAGGATTTCCTGTTTACAAAATACAAAATATAAAAATAAAAAAAAAAGTGGTCTTTTTTATTATAAAATTATTACCAAACATAAGATTTGAATAAAGAAAAACAAAAAAGATAAAACATTGATCCATGATGATCAAGATCAAATTTAAATTTGAGGAAATATGACCAATCCGTGAGATTCATTACATGTTTCGTTTTGAAAACCGAACCATTCATTTGTAGTATTATTAGTGTATAATATTTATGAAAAAAATTAAGTTAATCTGATAATCATAATCTTCTCCTCTTATCTCGTTTGTCTTAAAATAAAAATATATGATAAATATGTTTTAAAAAATAGACAATGTAGATTTTTTTATAGACAAACACGATAAAATAAAATAATAATTATTATTAAATCAACCTATTTTTTCTCCATAAATAATATACATGAAAACTCCTACAAATAAAAAAGTAAATTATCAAAACGACACTGGGTCTCATGAACTTGTCAAATTCTTTGAAATTCATATTTAAACGTGAGAAAAATTTAACGCCACCAAGAACAACATAGTTGAAGTTGAAGTCATCTTTCAGAGACCTCATCCAGAAGAACTTTCCTGTTACGTTTGATTTCTTCCGCTGCAATAAAAGAGTCGGTAAAAGCCACCATAAATATTAATTCAATTAAAGTAACAATAAAAAGTAGGAAAATTCATTACTCTAATGCATGCTTGCTTATGCTTATTACATGTATTGTAATGTAATTCCACAATTGACAGCCTAGTTGAGAGGGTCAAGGCCTACCATTTATTCAGCCCACCAAAGTCCATTTAAAACTCACATAAAAGTTACACCCAGGAGATGATAAAAAATAGTAGGATTAATTTGAAATTAACTAAAGTATGACCTCCCTCTTCGCTCGCTAGGATATTGATGAGACTAGGGTCAAACTATAGCTCAAATCTCATTTTGAGAGAGATAATCCCACTGTCAAAAAATAATTTAGTTTGAGTTTTCTGAATTAAATTTTTTGAAAATTATTTTTTTTTGATTTTTGTATTTTTTTTTTATTTTTAGTGAATATTTTTTAAATTTTAAACATTTTTTTTACTTTTTTAGATGCATCTTACTTAGATGTATCTAAAAAATAAAAAATTTGAGAAAAAATATTTTAAAAAATTAATAAATACATAAAAATATAAAAAATGTACTGAATTCTTGTATTTTTTTTTTATATTTTTGGTATTTAGTGAATTTTTAAAATATTTTTTTTACAATTTTTTTACTTTTTAGGTGTATTTATGTTAGGTGTGCCTAAAAAGTAAAAAAATTACTTAAAATATTTAAAAAATTTAGTAAAAACAAAAAAATACGAAAAATAAGAAAGTAGAATTTTCTAAAAAGTGTTTTTGAAAAGTGAAAACAAGCAAGGTGATTCAGCAACTTTAATTCAAAATTAATGTGACATTCAATCGCTAATCGAGATGGGTTTGAGTGGTTTTGTATTCTCTTATGTAAGAAGGTTGTAATACAGAAATAATGAGTCGAAATCATTAAGTTGTGAATGAGAATTGTCTCATAAAATGGACACCAATAGAAGTTAGGTTTGGGCCTAGGCTTGGAGTTAGGCTTAGTCTTAGTCTGGATTGGCTTAGACTTGTATTTGTGCATGTGTTGGACTTAGTCTTGGGCATGGATTAGATTGTGCTATGTTGGACTGGATTTGTCTTGTGCATATGTTTTAGACTGGATTTGGATCTGGTTGTAACCTAACACCCATATTTATTTTAGGACCCATCTAGTTGGATTATTTAAATAGCATTATATATATATAGTGCAAATAAAGTTTTCAACCTTTGTAACCCTCATCTTTTGATGATGAGATTGATGATTATATTATGCACATGGGAGTTTTGCACCTTTGTCCCCTAATAGCTAGAGTTGATGACTATTGACACTAGGTTTTATGGTAGTTTTTATGGCTAAGACTTATTCCCTACGAGTATAAAAATGGCCTTTTTCCCTCCAACTTAGAGGGATGAGATAGAAATATTTTTGAGATGAAAAATTTGTAATTTTTTTTAGATAAAGTTGGAAAAGATTTTTATACCAATTTTTTTTTTTATTTTCTTTGTACTAGCCCTTTTTTTTTTGTTTTTATTAGAGAGAGTGTTGTCATTGTCAAATTCACCAAAACTATTCAAAAAGTACTACTGCATTAATTGGTTTCGACCGTCGTATCTTGAGAGATAGACATCGGCGTACCTCTAGCATTCATCATGAGAATTCATCTTGTAATATGTTCCCTAATATAATTTAGTTTATTTATGTATTGTTGGCTGTGTAGTTTATTATGTATTTCATTCTTTAATAAATAAATAAATAAAATTATTTTGTCATTTCTATTTATTTAATTTTACATATTTTTTTATATTATTATGAAAAAATACCAACCCCACTTTGTAGGGCATGTCTACGGACCTCCTGTCCGGATCTTCACCGGGTAAAGGTTACTGTACTCGTACCTCTCTAATCTTTTTCATGGAGCCAAAAAATTAAAGCACGACCTCAAATATAATCAACTAAAGAAAATGAATTCATGTAACTAACAATGGCTCCGTTTGGTAGAGCTGTGAGAAAGTGATTATAACTTATAACTTAACAGCTTATACCTTATAACTGTGAACATAAGCTCATTTTTTACTTATAAATTAAGTTTCTCCTCCCCCACTCAAAGAATAAGTTGATTTTTGACTTACAAAAAGCTATAAGCTATATTGTTAAGCTGAACCAAATACATCAAAATAGCTTAAATTAAGCTAAAAGCTGAAATAAACTGAAAATAAGCCCTACCAAACACGGCCAATAAGCAACTGGAATAAAAACTTTGTTGAGTTAAACCACAATGCCAAGTTACAAAAAAAAACGATGAAGATCACAAAGCTGCAAACGACTATGACCAAAAATTGAAGAGAACAGAACACCAACCCAAAAACCTCGTTTGCCAAACTTCGATAACAAAAAAGAGAATGGGGATGACAATCATATCATTAATCCATAATGCAAAAACGCTTCCACTCAACTATCAATCAAAACTTTTATTCATGCGATGTCAAGAGGCTCAATTTGTGTACACTCAAATACAGTTCCAAATGCGATTAAATATAGCCGGTCTATAAGGTCTAGCTTAAGGAACTAGCTGAGCCCTAGAATCACAACCATTACCACTCATTTTGAAGGGGATGACGATAATAACAACTACAGCAGTGCAAGTGAAAATTATTGTTCAATATCTTCCCCCATGTTTTCTAAACTGAATAATTGAAGATAAGAGAAAGCAGGTTCACAAGCAAGACTTAACATCATAATAGAAGGGGAAGTTTGTTTTAGACATAGATCCCTCATCTACAGCTGATGTGTCGTTCTTCAAGTGTACGGCACCTGTTTTGTACATGGTGTTTTGGCAAATGTTGAAGCGTTTATATCTCGACACAAAAGTTAACAGCATCAAGTGAATTTGTCTACAGGAGTTGAAGAGGTCAATCGAATGGGAAACACAACTGAAGAGCACTGGAAGCATTTCTTGCTACATTGTAGAGATAACTGCTAACACTGTAATCACATACAGGCAAATGGTCCACAAAACCATATATTTTTCTGCAAAATGGGCAAAAATAATCAAGGTGATGTCAAACACAAAATGGTGATCAGGAGTCTCCAGTTTCTAGAAAAAATGCTTCTGTTTCCTAGGAGACCAAAACAAAACATTAATGAAACACCAAAATTCCAATATTTCAACCGAAATGCCCGGAAACACAATGAAACACTACAAAACATACCAAAACAATGAATTGCTCCAACACCTATTAGAAAAATCCAACAATAATCATTTCTATTTGCATTTTTTGTTAGAAGAAAAGAATTAAGTGCAAAGAAACCCTTAAATATATAAGAGAATCTGATAAACTAAAAAGAAGAGGCAAGAGAAGAGAGGATTAGCAATCATGATTAAGTCACTTCTTCTCTTTTTTTTTTACAAGCATTTTTTTTTCTTTTTTGTTATCCTGCTATTACAAGAATTTTGCATTTTTTAATGTTTTTTCTTTTCTTACAATGACGAATTCCTTTCCCAAGTAAGCCTTTAAACTTTCCGTTTATAAGCTTTTGATATTCATAGACCTTGACATGTTCAATTATTTAATTACTGAACATGCATTAGTATTTATACCAAATTCTTACTGTGAAAATCATATGTTAGTAAATGTTCAATAAGTGACGGTCTCATGTTTAGTTTTTAGTTATAGACATGGTCGATAAGTGATGGACATGTCGCCAAATGAGTGTCGGACATTGCTTGAAATTAAGATTTTTTTTTAAAAAAAAAAATTATGAATACAAAAAAATAAAAAATAAAATAAGAGTATTAGACACATGTCTGAGAAGTGTCAGTGTCTAACACGTGTCCGACACGGATATGTCGTCTTCTTAGAAGTGTTTATGCTTCTTAGGTGACGACTATGGTAAAAAGTACTCAGACAAAACAATTCAAACTGAAATAAAACTAGTGCTTCATGTTAAGAGCGATGAAAAAAGCATAATGATTTTCAATGGCACCACTGCAAAAGTAACAAGCAAAGCAAGCTCGGATAAGTAAAGATTCACGACCTCTGAACCAACCTGCATAAATGTTACATTGATTTTGTCACAGGAAGAGATAGGAATGAAACATCAACTTGAAACAGGAGGGGTATGGACATTCTGACAGTAAAAGAGAAAACAGAGCAGGAGACGCGAGTGTCAACTATAAACAAGATCAAGAAAATATCTCATTTCTAACTTGATGAATTTTGCTCATATACTATCCACAAGTTGGTGAAAAAATGTCATTCTATACGGCTGTGACTTTTGTTTTTGACACATTGGAAAGCATTTAAAAAAGCCAAGCTTGTGTTAATTACGAAACATGTAACAAAGTGGCAAATTATCATAAGCACGGCAACTGTGCTACCCTGGTGGCTCTATATACTAATATCAGACATAATTATGAATCTCCCACAAATAGGTGACAATAAATGTGAGGAAAGAATGTATGCATTTACAAACAAGGGACAGCATATATGCAATATTAGAACAGCGAAAAACCTTTTCAAAGCAGCATGTCTGGCCACCTTCCATATTTTTTTCACTCTAATATAATTTCTAAAAACATGAGAAGAGGGAAAAAACAGAGGGTATGAAGTCATACATTTCCACCACTGAGTTCTTGTGAGTCGTGGAAACTGCATACTAAACTCACCAAGAAGTTGTACAAGGTTCAATTGATAACTTTATTCATTTTGTATGGACCAAATAACTACATATATATTGCCCACAAAAATGTCTAGACCTACTACTACGTCAGGGACAGACGTTACAATTAAGGAAGAATTTCACAAGAGCTGATGAAGATGACAGGACTACAAAATCCTTGGACTTAGAGCTGGCTAGATACGATAATCCAAGGCTTAATTATAACTTCAGCAAAGGATCTGATTAAAGAAAAGGATACTCGAGAAACATGCCACAGGTGCATTAATGTAACAAACTTCAAGAGTTGCGTATGACACGAGCATGCCAAATGCAGTTAGTTATTCAGTAACTGGAATCAATACTCAGAAATGAACCAAATAGCACAATCATAAGGGGAAATTGCAAATACATGGAACAGTCACAAAATAATTGCACTACAAATGGGAATTTTTTTTGGTAACACAGGAATGAAATTACACCATGCACACACACACACGAGAGTTGCACCATCATGAAAATGCAAATTTTTTGCTATTGCTCCACTGAAATGCAATTTTCCCTAATTATAAATGCAGGACTACTTAGAAAATATGAGGAAGAAGAACTCCGAAAATATGAGGAAGAATGAATATATTTCTGTTATATTCAAAACTTCTTATCTTACAAGACCAAATGACACTCCTTATATAGGAGATATTACAAACATCATTATAACCCATTATATGCCACTTACATATTATATATTACCACTATCTACCACTATCATATTATATACATGCCACTATCTACCACCAACACCACAATCATATTCTATACATGCCACTATCCTTCACCAACACCACTATCATATTATATACATGCCACTATCTACCACCAACACCACAATCATATTCTATACATGCCACTATCCTTCACCAACACCACTATCATATTATATACATGCCACTATCTACCACCAACACCACAATCATATTCTATACATGCCACTATCCTTCACCAACACCACTATCATATTATATACATGCCACTATCTACCACCAACACCACTAAGCAGTGAAAAAGTAAGATACAACTAAAAGAATTTGAGATAATAAAAGGAAAATGTTGCATATCCTGTTTCTTATCTCATTTTCTCACTCCCAAGTGAGTGGGTCTCCTATGCATTTATGAATCTGGGCCCCATTGCTGTGTGTCTAGGGTCGAGGAAATGAGATAAGAAATGGGATTATGTATAGAATTGCTCATAAGAAAAATTATGAGAGAATTAAAATACCTGATTCCAAGTTGTTTACAATCTGTTTGAGATTCTTTCCTTTTTTTTGGTTTGTTTTTCCTCTTTAGTTTTTCTTCTTACAAATAGGTACAATCTATGACTTTCATGACGGAAATATTCCAGCCAGCAAAAAATCCTTAATCAGGGTGAATACGAACATGAATTCAATGTGTTTAAATTTTTGTAGCAAAATGCTTGGGTAAAGTGATGAGTAAAAAAAATTTACCTTCCAATCTAAGCATAATGAAGGCTTATACCAAATCCAAATTACCAACTTGATCACCAAAATACTTAGTGGAAGATGAACAGCTCTGCTCAGTGATCCTTTCAAGTAAAAGGATGACCTAACGTCCATCTAGAGGTCCACAAGGTTGAAGGAAATCAAAGAATGAATGGACATACTCCATCACAACTGATAAAATACCTTTTTTTGCTGAAAGATTATCACAACAGTTCACCTAGGACATCCAGAAAACTCCCCATAAAAAATTGGTGTGTGACTATGAGACTTTTCAACATAACACTAACTGAACTTTTTTTAATTTTATATCAATTTTTTTAATTTTTATATCTGCCTCGACTAGACGACGCTAATGTGACAAGGAACAAAATAAAATAACTAACACACTTATAAAGATTTACTCCTTGTTTATTTATACTTTGACCCGAACATTGCTTTCAAAAAAATTTAGTGGGTTTAATTTCAACCACCAAGAGGGGTCAATTTAAAAATAAATATGTATATGTTAAAAAAATATTAGTGAATTTTCTAAGTCTAGTGGGGTCACTTGACCCCATCCCATTGTATGTAGTGTCGCCAGTGAGTCCTACACCAATTTGAAAACTCGGTTAAAAAATAAAGAATAAAAAAGCCCACATACATCCACCAGAAAATTAGTGTACTTTGCCTTTATGTTGCAAAATATATCACAATGTCATTTGTTTGTTTGTACTTTACTGCCCATGATTCCTCACCCTATCCCGCCCTCCCCTCCTAACATGCCCAAGATTGAAAATAGGTATGTAAACGTGTGTGTCACCTATATCATAATACAATGATAAAAATACTGCCTCATGCCATATCTAAGTATTTCGAGCTTCCATGTCCTACAGTCATGCCAATGTCCACATGCCATGGTAATTTGTAAATATGACCAACACAACAGTTAATTACACTGATGATACTGCACCTTGTCCATTTGAAGTCTCATTTCAGCCAGATCAATGCAATTCTTCACTCTTCTTGTGGTGGTTATGGTGCCAACATCCTGAAAATAAACAAAGAAAGGCAAAGGATCAGCATGAAAGAATTTTATTCAAAATAAGCCCAATTTCTTTTACAATCTAATTAGACCAATGAGATTATGAGAGTAGGCCACAGAGAGTTACAAAAAGAAAGAATATCAGATGTCAAAATGCAACATGCAAAATACCTGAGATTCACTGTACAGGGAAACACATCTTCAATAGAAACAAAATGATGAACACGCACTTCACATGATATTGTATTTCAAAACATCTGTTTTAGGACATTTCTTTGACAGGACAAATACTTCAGTGCTACTCAAAATCTACCAACTTCACAGAGGGAAGAAAGACATTAATTCAACCACTTTGAGCTCGCACGAATAATTATACTTCTGAAAACACATTTCGATGACAATGAAGAAACAGTAGGAGAAAATTGTTGTTGGTCGTTGAACAGTGGAAACAAAAACAAGATTTTAGACAAGACATCAACAATGGTTTCTAATGGATGTTTTTGAAAAACTGCATCACTGACAAATGTTCTCCAGGGAAAAATCAATAAATTAATAATCAATGTCTAAATGAAATTCCATGTTACATAAAATTACAGATTACACTGGAAAAAATTAACCAAGAATTACAACTTTCAGGGACATCAATCCCATGAATCAACTACAAGTAGGATGGAGAAGTGCATAGAACCATCAACTGCCTCAAACCCACCCCACAATAGCTGATACCGCAGCAACTCCCACATCCAGATTGCATGTGACCATCTGTGGGAAGGGTTCAGTTTCCTTGTGAGTTAATGCAAAAGCAGGCCAAGCTCCGTAAAAGCCCAACGGGGCTCACCTTTGAATCAATAAGATTTGTTCTATTTGTTGTCTCTTTTAAGTTGAACCTTCAACTTTTTGCCACCTAATTGGCAGCCATTCATCTTATAAATCGCTGATTGAGCAGCTGCTGGTGAGTCATAACTAACAAACCCTGCCAACAGATGCTGATTAGAGGCAGTTCTGTACTTATTTCAGTTTTAAGCTAAAGATTAAGATATTCTTACCAAAGCATTTGCTAACACCTGTTGCTTTGTCGACAAAGACCTTAGCACTCAAGACCGTTCCAAATGGTTGAAATGCATTTGCAAGTTCTTGGTCACCAAATTCTTGAGGAATGTGGTAAATAAATAAATTAGCTCCAGGTGGACCTAAGTTCAGAGCAGATTCTTATTAAATATGTAGTGACGATAAAGTACTTGAGAGAATAAGATGGGAAAAAGAGAACTTCTTGGTGAAGAATTTCAACAACCTTCAACCTGACCCCCAGAACTTCCACCGACACTTGAAGATGCTGCAGACTGACTGTTTACAATTGCAGCTGGTACAGAAGTAGGAGAGCCACTCAAAGGCCTGCTACTCATCATTCCCCCAGGATATGCCATACGATACTGAAGCCCTGGTACTGCTGGATAAGCAGTGCCCACATAACTCGCTGATGGCATACCATAATTTCTTGGGGCCATACCGGGGGAGAGATCGGGTGTGACTCCACGCAACACATTTCCCTGGTTTGCTGGCGGAAATACATTATGGAAAGCAGGTTGATTCTGCACTGGTGGAAGACGATAAAGTCCATAAGTTCCAGGAGTCTGCAAAGACAAGCACACATTAGTCAACTTGCAACTGCAATATCAAAAAACAATAAGAACATAATAAAGAGGAAAGCAAACAATAAAAATTCTGGGTAGGGTTTTAAAAGTAGAGGAAAGGATGTTGTTATTTGGAGTAATTTATAACACTATATTATCGCTGTGCTTCAACATATTAGCTTATGCATTGGATGACATTAAATAATTTCAAATTTAATATATATGAGAGGACAGAACCTGATAACCATATCCATTATATGGGGGCATGTAACCCATTGGCAAGGACCCAAATAAAGACGGATGCTGTGCAGTGTCAGCATTTGGCACATTAGAAGACTGTGATAGAGCTTTCTGAGCCCTGCGAGCTTGCCTTTCTTTCTCTGTATCTGCCCATTTGACAACTAAAGGAATACTTGAGCCCTGATACAGAAAAGATAACAAGATTTTAATTTACTAAAGAATTATTCCATTAAACTCATGGCTTTTCGATAATATATAACCTGAAAACAGGTAATAAGGTCAACAGAAGGCAAAAAGCAAAAAAACTTGACCACTTGAAACACATCCAAATCTACGTGGCCTTCAGTATACCCTCATGGAATAAACAGAATGTAAGAGGTTGTTATGTCGCGTTACATGCTTTCTGTTTTGCTTCCCAAGAGAGTTCAGAGTAGGAATGGGATTTCCTTTACTGTTCATCCACAAGTTTACACTGGTTATCAAAACAAGTGACACCACCTTTTTTCATGCTTTCACTTTGGAGCCATGTTCTGAAAACAGTTTTTTTTTCTTTTTCTTTTTTTAAGTTGAAAAGAAACACATGCTCCAAATATGTTTTTGTTTTATGTTTTTTAAACTTCCCCAAGGGAAAAAGAAACACATGCTCCAAATATGTTTTTGTTTTATGTTTTTTAAACTTCCCAAGGGAAAAAAAAAAAAAAACACACACACACACAAAAACATGAAACAAAACATGAACCAAACAGGCCCTAAATATTTCCTATGTAAGCACAATTATTACTACTTTTTAAGAAAACATAGCAAGATAAACCCATTCATGCAGAGTGAATTCGATGTGCAGACCATTTCACAATGCCCCAGTAGTTCCAGAAATCATACAAGGATGAATAGCAAAGTTTATACCTTGGCCTATCCATTCAAGGTACAGATGATAGAAATATCTCTGGTTTCTGAGTCTAAAGGCACGGAAAAAAGAATTAAAACTAGGAGCCAGCTCCACTTGAGATCATTACACTCTGGACTCTCTGGACCATGACATGGCAGCACATATGCCATCAGATGCCCTTCAAAATTGCAGGCAGCATGTAAGCCATTTAAATCAGACAATGACCTCATACCAACACCTGTTTCCAGGCCCCTCAAATGGCTTAATGCTGCATCGCAGACAGAGAAGTCAGTAGGGTAATAATCTACATAGGAGCCACTCTAAACAAATAGATAGGTTTATGGTGAACACCGTGTCTGATATTTTCTGGAAGCTAAACTAAATGCAAGCGATTCTATTGCATACAACGTGTATTCGATCTAAACTCTTCCCAAATACCTATAACTAATATAAATTGTTAGATTAAAAAGCTCAGCAGTTTGTTGACAACAAACTGGAAAAACCAAAAATGAAACCAAAAGAAAAGAAAAACAACCCTGAACTACTATGTCAAAACACAAAAGGTCAACCACCAATAGCACAACATGGGACAGGACTCAAGTTGTTTCATTGACAAGAATATTTGTCAGAAGAAAAGAAAATTAGTAATAACTAATAACATATACAAGTCAAAAAAAAAATTTGATAACTCAGTACTCGGCCCATTGGACCACTAATTAGGGCCACCAATCCCACCGTCCACTTGTGGAGGTCCCAATTATAGCCAAGGCAAAGCCCTATATGGACTGGCCCTAAGAAATTGTTTGCACCTAAGAGGTTTCAAACCTAAGACCTTGGAGGGAGCGCACTCCCAGGCTTTGACCACAAGGCCAACCCCATGAGGTTATATACAAGTCAAAATTTTTGACATGCTAATCATGCAACTTTTAAGATGCGACTCCCCTCACAACAATTTCAGTCAACACTGCAGATAACAAGACATATTAACAGCACTCAGTATCAATGCCAACATGTTTCAAGATCAAAAGTTGTCCATCAAAAGAAAAATAAACACAAACCTCCATCTTATGCTTCCCGTTGAGTGCCTCTATGGCTGCAAGAGCTTGTTCCTTCATCTCATACTTCAGAAAAGCACAGCCTGCAATGATTAAGATAAGTAGAATGATGAAGATAGTTCTAAGATGAGATCATACCCTTGATTTTAGTTGAACTAGATAAAGAAAAAAAGTAGTCAGGACTAGGGACTGTACCTTTGCTTGTTAGCTGAGAACCTCTCAGAATTTGTATCTCTTTAATAGTTCCATACTGAGAAAATAGTGCAGAAAGCTCAGCATCTGAAACATTCTTTGGAAGCATACCCACAAAAAGTTTGTGTTCTGGATCACAGAATGCTAAAAACATTATTAACCAAATTAACTGAGACAATAACTAATTGTAGCAAAACAGATGAATAAATCAACGTCAGACGAAAAATGAGGACTGGCACCAGCACAATTTACAAGAATCATCTTGAAGAAATACATAAGAAAACAATGAAAATTATATCACACCTAGCCTTTCCAACTCGCCATCTGCATACTTCACTTGCAACGGACTAGATGCCTAAATTGGACACAAAAAAACAGGATGCCTTTACATCAGAAAGAAAGCAACATATCCAAGAAACAGAAGAATAGAAGAAGCATACTAAGTTTGAAAAGGAAAAAAAAATTCCACTGCAAATTGTTCTCGTGCTTAAATATTTTCAAATATTATGTAAATCTGAGTCTATAAATTTATAAAGCATATGAGATTCAGATCAACTGTATGATTCACATCTAATATCTAGCTACAGGAAGAGCTAACTCAGCCAGGAGCCTTCCTGAAGTTCCAGAGTGAGGACTCACAAAGTATGACTTCATACTGTATGATGTTTCACAACAATTGAGCTCATATTTACTAAAATTGGTTAAGATGTAACGGCCAATACACTAATTATGATTCTCAAACACCAAACACGTTCAAGATAGATTTTTTTTTTTTATAGATGATGGGATTTGAACCATGGAATCCACTCATTCTACGTTCACAAATACCACATATATGCCACGACAAACCAATTATAATATGCATTTCACAGAAAACTGTTATTTTTCATTCCTTTCTCCAAAGCCTTCCAATTTGCAAATACCAAATGATAATATATTCTTTATATCTATTACCGACCTTTTCTGTGTTTCCAACCTGACCCTTCAGCGCACCAAATTTGAAGCCAAGAGTGAGTTTGATCTGGCTGAGCCCTAGCAATTCCCAGCTCAGCCTGCATTATGCCCAAGCCCCATCTATTAAGGGCAATTCCATAATGTTACTACTTCCAACATAGATATAACATAAATATATATCAGGAGTTGGAACTTCCCACCACCAATCATGTCCCTCCTAGGTGTCCCATGGAATTTACTACCTAATCTTATCACCAACTCTCTACTTACTCTCTCTCCCATTATTACTCTATCATTCTCGAAGCAATCACTCAAACCACTCTCTCTTTCTCTCTTTTTTTGGTGATTTTTTGTTCCACTTTTTGATGATCTCCCTCTCTCTCTCTCTCTCTCTCTCTCTCACACACACACACACACACACACACAAATCACTCAGACTTCTTTGATTCTGAACTCTCACTTCTCTCTCTCTCAAACTCTCGTATGCTCTCTCTCTCAACTATCTTTTCTCTTTTTTCTCTGTAAAGCCTCACTCTCTACTCACTGTCCCACCCAAGTCTAAGATTAGACGATGACAACAACACCAATGATTAGATCGAACAATGATGATAACGATGAGATGAAGTGACAATAATCAGATCAATCTATTCATGACAATGAGTATGATTAGATCAACCTCTTCACCCCTCCCCCTCTCAATTTCTTTGTCTCACACCCACTCTAAAAGTGTTTTTTTTTTTTTTTGCGACGGCAAAATAACGGTCTGAAACATGATGCTGCAGCATGAGGAGACTTTTGTTTTTCTTAGGGTTTTTTAAGTAGTTGTTTGAGGATTACAGAAGATACTGAGTGATCAGTTTCAATTCCAACCGAATTTTTTCCATAATTAGTCAAAATCGGATGGCTTCTTATTCTACCCAAGGTGATCAGTTCAAGTGATAGGTATATATGGTAAACCCGACTCAATCCGACCCGCAAAGCCGCTAAAATCGGGATTATTCGTGAAACGTTGGGAGCTACGTTACTTGGAATATGGATCATTTTGGTATGTGGCACAGGAACGGGAACGGGAACGGGAACGTGAACGTGATATGTCACATGCTCTAAAATGTGGTATGATAGGGGTAGACTTGTATATATTATACTTAAGTACTTCCAGAATAATTTTCTTTTAACTATTAGGCATTTAATAAAAAAAAAATTCTTTCATTTCTTATGCTTTTGTTTTTGTCAAAGCTTAACTCACCTCAAATTTTAATTTATTATATATTTTTTTTTCCTCCTAAGGTAATATTTAAGAAAATATATTGGAAAAAACTTTTGGGATCATTTCAGATCACTAAATTTATCATTTTGGAATGGAAATGTATCATGTTTCAGAACGTGCGTACTTAATATGTAATTCATTAGGGTATTAGCATTTTATGGTAACACAGGTTTGGAGGGACTAGTGGATCGGATCGTAAAATCAAATCGAGAACCATATGATTCCACTTTTAGGCCTTGTTTGGGAACCCTCCATTTTAGCCAAAAAGTCAAAAAGTTACTAAATTAGCCAAAAAGCCAATAACCCATACCAAAAAATCAAAGATTCTCTTTTCTCTCTACTTTTTGCACATCTTTTCGTAAAAAGTCAAAAAGTCATCCCAAACATACTAGTTTTTTTTAGCTCATATTTTAGCCAAATAGCCAAAAAGTTACTAAATTAGCCTGTTCCCAAACGAGGCCTTAATGTAAAATAAAATGAAAAATTATCGATAACGATAATGTATTTTAAATAACTTATAAGAAATAAATAATAACAAAAAAATTAGGTAGGATCGGAATCGTAGTATAATTTTACATGATTTTATGACTCGGATTGTAGTCACTTTAAAATTCTACAAAATTTAAGATCTTAGTGTCATCCATATTGTTTGGCCTGATTAGAGTCGTAGTATAGTAAGATCCTATGATCCAAATCAGGATTTTGATAACCATGTTAACTCGTGAACAACCCTACTCCTTACTAATTTCTTTCTTTAAAGAACAACTTTTCTCTACCACCTATAGCCACCCCACCCTTCCTACCACACACCAAATCCCCTAACCATAGCCATTCCCATACTTTCCTACTGCCCACCACCCATGGTTGTTAAAATTGAGATCCTATGTAGAATCGGTGAGAGGGTCTCATAGATCGGATCGAGAATTATAAGATTCTACTTTCTATTAAAAATAAGGTAAAAAAAACAAATAAGGATAGTGCACATTAAAAATAAAATGAAAAATCACAAACCCAGCGGTCTTAGTTACAATCCTACTTACGATCCTACACTATCCCACACGATCGTACTTGCGATCTTATTATAACACCAATACCCTCACACCTTTTTAGCACACATGGCCACCCGAACTCTTTCAATCGATGCTGCCTCACCCCAGATTTTAGTTGTAATAGCGTCTTTGAGGCATCAAAGTATCTTTGACATTGTTTGCAAGAGTAGTATATGTTTACGCAAAGCCATTTGTTCAAATAAAAAATTCACAATCTAAATTTGACGAATCTTTCTCTAGCTCAAGTGACCAAGTTACTTCCTAGATTTTCCTCATTGCACTTGACTTTTTTGGTACTTTGAATCAAGTGGTGGTCTTCCTTTGAAAACTTGGTAGCAACACAAATAGTATTGGAATGTTTAGTTGTCATTTTTGTCAAGGAAACCAATTTACAGTAAAAAGAAGGCTTTCCAACAAGATCTTTTTATTATCTCAACAAGCCTCCCCCAACAAGCTTGGGTATTGGAGAATGGTTGGTTGTGTTTGGTATAGCTATAGAATCTTAATTCCAGAGTTATTTTCAACACATTGTTTGGTTTAAGCTTCCCAAAATTGATTTCAAATCACATTTCAAAACTCATTTAAAAACTTGTTTGGTAGCACAGTGAGTTTTTTGAATTTTGAATTTTGAAAAGAGCGATTTTGGTCTACCCGGTCGTCTCCCCGGATGTCCGGCAGGTTGACCGGAACTGTGATTTTTTTTTTTTTTCAAATGAAACCTGTTATTTGGGAAAAAAAAAAAAAAAGGAAATTTATTTTTGATTTTTTTAACAAATTTTTTTGTTATATTTTAAATCAAAAATATTTTTAAAAAAATAATTTGAACCAAATATACGATAAAAGTTATTTTAAATCAATAACTAAATGTTTATTTTGAAAATAAAATTATTTCCATTGTAATATTTTCAATAAAAACACTGATTAATGTTATTTTTTGTTAATAATTAATTTTTTTAATTGAATTTTAAAAAGAGTTTGGTTATAAATGTTGATCAGAATTTTTAATAGAATTTTGAGTAATGTGTTTAGTTATGAGTTATAACAATTTGAATTAAGTTTTGATCCAAAACTCATAACCAAACAAATTTTCTTATTTCACATGTCATATCAAACATTCAAAACTCAATTCAAAACTCATAATCAAACAAATTTTCTATACTCAAATCATAATTTCAAAACTCACAAACTCAAAATATAACACCTATCTAACGAAAGGACCACATTGCAACTTAATCGATAATGTAAGGAGTTGACGATTACAGCTGAAAAATGAGAGACCGAAGTGGGAATTGGTGTAAAATGTAGGGGTACTAAATGTAATTTACATAACTTATATTGTATTAACCATTAGATGGTCAACTACATGTCTTACCCACAGCACTTACAAAATTTTTGTGGCCCATGTTTCCCATTATTTCTTCTTTTCCATTTTCCTTTAAAAACTCCAACGAGTTTATGTTATTCTCCCACAATAGCTTTCATTAGCATTCGCTAAACACCCTCAAACCTATGGCTGCCCCAGTTAGCATTTCCCCTAAACACCTAGTTTGTAGTCATTGATATATGAATTTGGAAGAAACTTGTAATAATATTCCCTCTTCACTCCACTTATTATTATTATTTTTTTAAAAAAATTTTTTTACTACCATCTTAAAATGTTGTCCCTAATTGTTACACATTCACAAGAAATCAGATGGCCAAAGGTGGTTGCTCGGTGATTGTGAGAAAATATTGTATATATGGCATGTTGTTTATATATGACATGATTGTGTAAATAGGAATTAGTTAGTATTTCCTTTTTTAGTCATAGATTTAGAGCTATATAAACTGATGAACTCTTTGTAAATTGACACAATTGAATATACAGAAAAACTTTCAGGAATCTTACATGGTATCAGAGCCGCATTTGCAACCCTAACCCTAGTCCTCATCTGAGTTCGAATCATCGGTCTTTGATTCGTGGGCATCAGACGACCTCTCTCTCTGAAATCACAGCCGTGGTCGCGACCCTTCTCTCTCTTCGGAGTTGCAATCGTACTCACCTTCTCTTTCTCGTCATCGCTACTGAAATCGCAGCGTGATCAGCCTCAGCATCCTCTGATTTTGTCACTGTTCTACACTCGTAAGAGGTGTCTCTCTCTGGTTCAGGAATTGCGACACCTCTCTTTGGCTCTGGTTGTGCTACGCAACTTCTTCTAGTCTTCTCCGCTTGGTTCTCCAACTGGTTTTCACTCAATGTTAGTGACTTTGACTCTCTTCGTACTGGTATTTGATTATAAAAATAAATAAATAAATAAAAACTCTTATTTACAGTTTGGCCCATTTGTTAATTATTTTTATACTTCACCCTGTAAATCTTTGGTTTGTTACAATGACGGACATCAAAACACTAGCCATCGGATGTAAATTCATTGGTGCCAGTCAGATTCTGTCTCTATCTGTTTTCTTGGCTCCTACTCAGCCTCCTCTGTTGTCGACCCCACCACGTCATTAGCTTCAGGCCACTGCGAAGCCTAAGAAGGGGCCACTAGCCTCTAATAAGTGTGCTTTTTGCCATCAGAATGGCCATTGGAAGTACAACTTTCCCAAGAAGGGACATCAGTCTACTTAGTCTTCCCAGCTGCCTCAGACACACAGTTTCGACCTCCTACTGCTTATACTGCATCTGCTCCGACTTCTAATCCTGACTTGGCTTCTTTGCGTGCCCAAATGGCTCAACTCCAGCATCTCTTGTCCACCTCTTAGCCATCATCATCTGCCTCTATTATTTCCTCTCTTCATTCAGGTTTGCTTAGGTATTCTTCAGGTATTTCTTCATCTGTCTGGATTTTTGACTCTGGTGCCTCTCATCATATGACTCCCCATTTTTCCTTACTTCAAAATTGTAGTCCTCCCCTTCCTATTACTGTCAATGCTACTAATGGGTCTAATATGTCTGTTATATCTGTTGGGTCTATCCTACCGTCTGCTATGTCTGTTGTCTCTATTCCATCTGTCTTATATGTTCCTCAGTTGTCTGTCAGTTTATTATCTATCAGTCAGCTTGATGCCTCTGGTTTTGATGTTATATTTTCTTCTTCTATCTGTTCTATGCAGGATCGGATATCTAAGCAGCAGATTAGGACTAGCCGTAGAGTTTGAGACCTCTATGTGGTGGAGAGCTTGTATCCGCCTATGACAACCTCTCAGACTGCCTTTTTCTCTTTTCAATTAGATTCTCTATCTAGTCCTTTCTACTTATGGCATTCTAGATTAGGGCATTTGTTTGCTGATCGCTTACGGCATTTAGCTCAGTCAAGTATATTAGGTAAAGTTTCTCTTAGTGAACTTACTGAATGTCAGGGGTGTAAACTTGCCAAAATGACAGCCTTACCTTTTCATAAAAGTACTTTTATATCTGATACACCATTTTCTTTAGTTCATACTGCTGTTTGGGACCCTTCTCCTGTTCTCACTAAAGGGGATTCTGCATACTATGTGTCTTTTGTTGATGACTGCACCCGTTACACTTGGGTTTATCTTATGACTCATAAGTCCGATTTCTATCAGATACACCGTACCTTTCAGTCTATGATTACTACTTAGTTTGAGTCTACAATTAAAGTGTTACTGTCTGGCTTGGGTTGAGATATTTTAAAAATGAGTTATGTGAGTATTTGGCCAATTTGGGTACTATTCACCAAACTTCTTGTACAGATACATCTGTCCAAAATGGTTGAGCCGAGCGTAAACATCGTCATTTCCTTGAGACAGCTAGGTCTCTTCTTCTGTCTGCCTTAGTTCCGGCTCCATTCTGGGAGAAAGCAGTTCTTACTACTGTGTTTCTTCTCAACCGCATGCCTACTCCTCTTCTTTCTAATTAGTCTCCTTATGAGGCTTTGTTCTCCCAAATTCCTAACTACTCCCTCCTTCGTGTGTTTGGGTCTGCCTATTTTGTCTTTCTTCCTCGCAAAGATAGAACCAAACTTAGTGTCCGGTCTGTCCTATGTGTCTTTTTGGGTTATAATCCTACTCAGAAAGGCAATCGGTGTTACGACCCTATTTCCCGTCGTCTTTATGTCTCCCGTCATGTTTATTTTCTCAAACGTCTATCTTACTTTCAGCTTCCTTCTCTCACCGCCCCAGTTTCCAAAGAGGATTTGGTTCATATTGATACGTTTCCTTCTAAGGTCCCGTCTGATGAGTACATCTCCACAATTCCTCCTGAACTTGTTCCATCTTCTCCTCCTGCTTCACCTCTAGTTACTTCTCCTCCTTCGATTTCTTCTCCTCCGCCATTGTTAGTTTATTCTCGTCTCAGGGCTCCTCCACCACCGATTGTCTTTGCCCCTATTGCTGATCCTCCTACTTCTGACGACTCTAATCCTGCTGCACACCGATATCCTACTCGATAGCGTCATCCTCCAAACAAGTTGATTGGTCTAATACATTTTTTCAGCTTCCTATCGTACTTTTTTGTTTGTTATTCTCTCTTTTTCAAAACCTCAGTCTTACAAAGAAGCCTGTCAGGATCCTCATTGAGTTCAACTTATGGAGGATGAGTTGTCTGCTTTACAGAAAACTAGTACTTCAGAGTTGGTTCCTTTGCCTGCTGGTAAGAATCTGGTTGGTTGCAAATGGATCTACAAAGTCAAGACTCATTCTGATGGTTCTCTTGAGCGCTACAAAGCTTGTCTGGTTGCCAAAGGTTTCTCACACGAGTATGATATTGATTATGAGGAGACCTTTGCTCATGTTGCCAAAATGACTACTGTTCATACTTTGATCTATGTCGCTACAGTTCATTCTTGACCTCTTTATCAGATGGATGTCAAGAACACTTTTCTTAATGGCCATCTCACTGAGGAGGTTTACATGCGTCCTCCCCCTGGCCTTCACCATTCCTCTGGACAGGTTTGTCGCATTCGGCGTGCTCCTCGTGCTTGGTATGATCGCTTTCAGACTGATGTTACCGAGCTTGGGTTTTATCTTTCTGCTTCCGACTCTACTTTGTTTCTAAGCCATACCTCGGCTGGTTTTGTTGCTCTCCTACTCTATGTGGATGATATGATCATCACTGTCTCTGACTCTTTTGCTATCTCTGAGGTCAAGCAGCATCTCTTTAGCACCTTCGAAATGAAGGATCTGAGTACATTGCGGTATTTTTTTGATATTGAAGTTGCCTCTTCTCCAAAGGATTATTTTCTGTCTCAGGCCAAGTATGCTAATAAGGTTCTTCACCGTGCCGATCTTACTGATACTAAAGTTTCTAATACACCTATTGAGCTTAATGTGAAGCTCAACTCTACTAATGGTGTCCCTCTGGATGATCCCACGATCTATCACGAACTTGTGGGTTGTTTAGTTTATTTGACTGTCATTCGCCCTGATCTTGCTTATGATGTTCATGTGGTTAGTCAGTTCGCTTCTGCTCCTTGCTCTATCCATTGGGCTGCTTTGGTTCGCATTCTTCGCTATCTCTATGGTACCATCTTTCAAGGCTTACTGTTGTCCTCTACTTCATCTTTAGACTTGGTAGCCTATGCTGATTTCGATCGTGCTGGTGATGTTAATGGTCGCAAGTCCACCTCTGGTTTCTGTATATTTCTTGGCGATTCCTTGATCTCTTGGAAAAGTAAGAAACGAACTGTTGTTACTCATTCTACTGCCGAAGCTGAGTATCATGCTATGTCTCATGCTACTGCTGAGTTTGTTTGGCTTCGTTGTCTTCTCTCAGATTTGGGTGTACCTCAATCTTCTCTGATCTCTCTCTATTGTGACAATCGCAATGCTATTCAGATTGCCGACAATACTGTCTTTCATGAATGGACGAAACACATTAACATTGATTGTCGCTTTGTCTAACAGTATCTACAATCTAGCTCTATCTCGCTTCCTTTCGTCTCCTCAGCTTTGCAACTTGCAGACTTCTTCACCAAGACTCGTACTACCGCTCGGTTTCAGTTTCTTCTTAGCAAACTCTCAGTGTTTTTTGCTAAAACACCTTGAGTTTGAGCGGGGGTGTGAATATATTATATATATGGCATGTTGTGTATATATGGCATGATTGTGTAAATAGAAATGACTAGTATTTCCTTTTTCAGTCATAAATTTGGGACTATATAAACTGATGAACTCTTTGTAAATTGACACAATTGAATATACAGAAAAACTTTAAGGAATCTAACAGATCAATGCTTTCACCTAAAGAAATTCAGCTCCAAGACATGTCCACTTGCAAAGTGACCCAAGTCAAAATTAAAATATAAATTTGAGGTTTCTATTACACCATCTATAAAAAAAACTTAGCATAAAATTTGTGTGTTCTAGTTTGTTCTTTGCTTATGTACCAGTTGAATTACCTCGGCCATGTGCTGGATTTCAGTAAAATGAAAAAGGTTAAAAGACTAGCAATTTAAAACAAAGTCAATGGTCAACTAGGTATTCCTCAACTCCACTGCCTACTTCAAACTCACTGCAATCAACTCCATTTTTGGTTTCCCCTTTTTGATAGTACAGTGAAGTTCATATATAGTCCTATATCTCAGTTTATACAGGTTCTTAGCAGCAATGTAAGCAAGAAATAGTGAACTAATTTAATAAGTGTTAAGACATTGCTAGGAAATGCATCTGTAACAAACAGAGAACAAATGTTACAGAGTAATGCTAGTGACCCAAATATTTTACCAAATGTTCTACCAAATATTTCACATGTGTGGGATCCACATGTGACCCACACACCAGACATTTGGTAAAATATTTGGGCCCTAGCATTTTTCAATGATACAAATAGTACTTCACTACCTATTTCTTCAGAAATTGATTGTCCAAATCCAGTAAATTACACTAATTAATGTAGACTGCTAGTAGACTGCTAGTTAGTACAGGAACTAGCTTTGATTGCTTAGGTTTTGTTCAATTAATGCAAATTTAATCACTATAAATAAGAAAAAGATCCAAACAACAAAAATAGATAAAGATCAGAACACTACTAACCCCAGGAAGAGTTCTCTTATTATGACATGCATTCACTGCCTTGTCGGCCTCTTGCCTTGACGGACAAATAACAAAACAACACCCTGCAAACAACAAATTAGGGCTTGAAACATCACTAGAAACACTCAAACAACGCAAATCTCGAAGAACTACTCGAATCGCACATTGTGATCCGAAGCGAAGAGTGATTTGAAGAAAAAAAAATTGCGAATTGGAATAGAAAATTTTGAAATGCGAATACCTCGTGAAGCTCGCGTAGTCTTGTCTTTGATGATGTTGACTTCGTCTACGAGAGCAAAGTCTTCGAACATTGCGAGGAGTTGTGATTCGGTCATGTGCTTCGGTACTTGACCTACGAACAGCTTCACGCTCTCTTCGCTTTGTTTTCGCGGTTTTTGCCCTTCCGCCATTAATGCCGACTCTTTCTCTCTCTAAAATTCTCTCTTTCTCTTTCTCCTCGAGTCTCTGTTCTGCCAACTGTCTCTCTCTCTCTCTCCCCTCCCTCTTCTTTCTCTCTGAGTCTTCGCTCGTTGGAGACCTGTTCCGGGGAAAATAAGGGACATCTTTTAATATTTTTAATATGATTCAAGCTTTTCTAAATGCCCCTAGTTTTGTTTATAAATGCCAAATTGCCCTTGCAGTGCAGTTGACAAATAATTGGAAACCCCAATGATAAGCTATCATTGATAACTACTGCACTGTTGGACTAATACAGTATTGGAGATCAAATCGGGATCCGCCGTCGCCCTTATCTGCAACTCTTTCCTATAGTGCTCCGAAATGACGTCGTTTTAGAACAACTTTTTATGGGGAAAAAAAAAAACACTCAGAAAGTGGGAAGTGGTGGTGACCGTTGTATTTTTGAGTTTGATGCTCTGGCAATTGTTGGAGATGGAGATGGAGTTGGATCTGGATCTCTTCTCACAACATGGGTTTGTTGGTGTAGATTCAATTGTTGATGAAGATGAAGATGGTGATCTAGGGTTTGCTGTGTAGGGTTGAGAACTATGCTTTGATGATGATCGTTTCTTCTTCTACCTATAACTGCTATTGTTGTTGTTGTACTGTAACCAATTGAAATGCCCATATCTTTGTCTTTCCCTCTCAACTCCATTTTAATTCTCTTCCTTAAAATACACTAAAACCCTTTGATCCCTTCAACTTTCTCTTTCCTCTATTTTAATCTCTTCGTAGATCATCATCATCGTCATCATCATAACCTTTAAGAGTCTCTGTTTTATGAACCCAAGGCTAATCTTAAGAACAAACAACAATCAATCAAATAATCAACTGGATAATCTAGGATTTTTAATTTGTGCTCTCTTTTTTCTTTTGATTTGGACTTGTGCATGCTAATGCTACACCCATAAACACAGAATCAAGAGGAAACAGAGAGATGAAGACCAGAAAAAAAAGAAAGAAAAAAGCGGAGAAGAGGGAGAAAAAGAAAGCTAAGAACAGAGTCAATTTGTCAAAGCATCAAACATCTTGATGAAATTGATCAAATTTCAAACCCACCCAAAATTTCATCATGTGTTCTCTTTTTGCTTCAAACATCCTATGTTCATCCTGTGTTCTTGGGTTTTTTTTTTTTTTTGCTTCATCTTTTTTTTTACCTACCCAAAATTTCAAACCTAAGAACTAAAATCAAGCCCAAGAACACAGAATAATTTCATCATCATCATCATCATCATCACCAAGAACTAAAATCAAGCCCAAGAGCACAGAACTAAAATCAAGCCCGATTGGTTTTGAACTCGATAAGTGATCAGACTTTGTCGGAGGAAGAAGAAGAAACAGGAATGTGAGAAGAGGAATGAAAGGTGGGTAGCAGCGGCGATGGCGGGGAGGTGGTAGTGCCGTCTCAAACCCACCACACCACTTTTCTGAGTTCTGTGTTATTTTATTTTATTTTTTCCCCATGAAAAGTTGCCCCAAAACGACGTCGTTTTGGGGCGCTACAAGGAAGGGCTGCAGATAAGGACGACGGAGGATCCGAATTCTTGGAGATCTTGTGTACTCTGTCAAAGAAGGCTCCTTTGTCAATTTATAAATTTTTTATTTTTCTTAGTCATATTATTTTTAAATTTTTTTTAAAAAATTGAAAAGTTAACTTGTAACTTACTTTTTAAAATAGACCTAAACAAAGGCTTGTTTTGGAAAGTTGGCTTTTAGTTACTTTTTTTTGGTTTGTAGCAAAAGCCAAAAGTTGGCTTTTTTTTTAAAAAAAAAATATTTGGCAAGTTGGTTTTTAGCCAATGGTGAAATTACAATTCTACCCCTCATGGGTCAAAATGTGTTACATGGGTGAAGTTGTAAATATTTTAAACTAAATGGAGGTAATTTGGTCATTTTATTATGATTTGACATCATAAATAAATATTAATAAAAAAAGCCAAAAGTCACTTTTTATCAACTTCTCAAATCATTTGTCTAAAAAAGTCAAAAGCTTAGTTAAAAGCCAAAAAGTCACTTTTTACCATCTTCCCAAAATAGGTCAAAATTATTCGGTGTCATGGCATCGTATGGAATATGTCACACACTAATTATAAATTATTATATTTTCATTATTTGACATAAATCGTAAATCTCACATTCTTCACTAATTAATAAGGTAATGCAGCAGCATCATGTGTTGTTGTTTCAATCGAGTGACTATTATGTCTTATTTTTATTAGCAAAATAAATGATACTCCAAAAGATTATATATATATATATATTTTTTTTCAATTTATTGCATATTTTTAAAAAATACAAAAGAAATTCAACTGTGTGGATGAGTTTTATTTTGGACAAAATTAACCCTCTCTGTAATTTGAATTTACTAATATGTTTCTTCCAACTTCAATCACGAGTAACTTGTCACTGCAACCACTGTTATACCCTTTTTGACATCCCCAACCCCTTTTATGTTTTCTCATGTTACCTCTTATCCTTCCTACTGTTTCCCCACCATGGCTACCACCACCCCTTAACATTCTAGCACGTTTCTATCCCATCCAACAATATTCTCCACCTAATCCTCAAACACAACAAACACCATAAACCTTCCCAACCCCTCTCCATCTAAATCTAAAATTCTTAATCCTTAATCCATGTTATTGAGATTTGGACCAAATTCTATTTCATGACAACAATGAAAAGGGCTGGGGTTTTTTATGATTGCAATGGCTAGGAGCGGTGAGAGTAGGGGTTAGGGGTAGCGGGAGAGGGTGGTGATAGTAACAAGGGTGAGATATGGGTAAGGGTAGCGGGAGAGGGTATGGCAGTAGTGACCGGCCAAGAGTTACGTACAAAAAGGATAGTGATAAGGAAAATGGAAAGAGAAAATGGCATATTAGTAAATTTGAGAAAGGGAATGGCTTTTTGGCCCAAATATATATTTTCATAATGTTGATTCCATGTTTCTAAAAAATAGTTTTCAAGTTTTCATATCATTTATAATTGTATACCCTATTCTTTTGCAATTTTTTTTTGAAATGTTACGAATTATTTAAAAATTGAGAGAACTACACATTAGTGGGGATCAAAAAAAATATTTACAAATACGTGAGAAAATTTATGATTTTAATTATTAATATTTATCATATATTTGTAAATTTTTTATTATCACACTGACGTGTTATTTTCCCTTACAAGTTCCCATTTTTATCACATGTCTAAAAGAATAATGTCTATATAAATCAATAAATTTTTTTATTTATTAAATCATATATATTTTGAAACTATTAAATGATACATCTAGTAAAGAAATTGTAAAATTTGTATAGCATTTTCCTGTCTAAAACTATCAATGGAATTAAAAAATATATATAAAGTTAAAATATCAGCACATTTTTTTTTGAAAAATGTCTCGTAGCTCAAATTTTGTGGCTCAAATGGCCAAAACGACGTCGTTTTGGCCATTTTTATGTTGTTCTGTACTCAAAATGATGTCGTTTTAGCCATTTGAGCCACTTTTGAGTCACAAAATTTGAGTTACGTAGCATTGTCGTTTTTTTTTAAATAACAAATGTTATAAAAAAAAAAATTCTTAATTGATGTCATACGCAATAATAAAATTTTAGAATATAAAATGATATAAATAGGTGCGACATACAATTTAATAATATTATAGATATCACATTAATTAATGAATTTGTTATAAAATTTATCAATTTATATGATTTTGCATCAACAAACATAAGGAGAACGGAACGTACAGTGTTACTACTAGTTTTATTTATACTATATTATTTATAATGATTTAAATTCTTGAATCTTTTTTTTTCCGGTAAAATTAAATATCTAATCCACTGAATCGATTAATTTGGTAGATTAATCTTATCGTTAATTTGTATTTTTAAAGGATAATTTTTAAATTCATCAAATGAATGACTCTCGCCATGACCACTTGAGAAAATACCTACTCCAATTATGTTGATTGTTTGCCCATTGATGAGCAACAAGTCCTAAACAAAACTTTTTAGGTACGAGGTCTTTTTTCACGGCCTATCGCCGTAATCATAAGCATCACTTTTTGAGTGAGACACGTTTAAATCAACATGCCGTTTTGCTAAAATACCACCACATGCACATGGTACTCAAGGAACCTTGGTTAATTAACCACACTCCATTCATTATTGTCTTAACACAAATGTGAAATAATCGCAATAGTTAATCAAACCGTAAATGTATAAAGATAAAATTCAACATCTTAAGTTTAAATATTTTAAAGGATCACTAGACATTTGATAAGTCATTAATTTTAAGACTTTCAAATATTAGTTCTTAATTGTCATACAAGATAACTCCAATCCGATTAGATTGAGCCCTAGTTTGGCTATCATTATGGGGCTAAAAAAAGCACAAAATAACAAAATAGGCTAAATAAGCTAATAAGACAAAATATTGCATTCAACTCAAAATCAGTACATTTTTTCTCTTACGAAAGTTTAAAAAAAAAAAAATTCAAATAAAACGAGACTAAAAAAGTCCAAACACAAAAAAATTTGCTACATTTGTCAATGCCAAACGAAACTTGAATTGATTAGGAAATATCTTGAATTACCGAACAAAATAAAAATGTGAAAATATCAACTTTAATAATGTTAGTTTATTGATTCAAATATAATTTTGATACATTTATTATATTATTGTTTTTTTTAGAAGGGTAGATTTTTTTATTTTTTAACTTTTGTTTGTTGGATTTCTTATATCTAAATCACTGAATCAAATTATTAGTATTATTCTTTTTATCAAGCTGAGTGAATAGAAATGACATATGTGTCAAATTTTCCGTAGTTCTACAAGCACGAAATTAAAACACAAAATAATACACAAATTACGTGGCTTATTTTAAGCATGTTTCATATAACAATCTAGACGGATGTCAGTCACATATTAGATTTTCTGTGCATTTTATATATTTTAATTTTATGCAAATATTATTATCGTCAAATTTTGACATAAAATTTGACAATATTATTTTTTTGAAAACAATTCTAACAACTCATTGGAAAAGTCTTTTTAGTAAAGTTGTTATAATTTTATAGTAACAACTAATGCATGTATTTT